AACCATGAAAAGGGTGTTAAATGAAGACTTAGGGCTTCGGGCATATCGAAGAAAAACAGGACATCGTTTGAATGCTCGTCTAATGGACCTGAGACTGAAGAGATGCCGCGCTTTGTTGAAGCGGTACGCGGGAAAAAAATATCGGGAAATTCTTTTTTCGGATGAAAAAATTTTTACCGTAGAAGAGAGCTACAACAAACAAAATGATAAGGTGTACGCACACAGTAGTGAAGAAGCGAGCAACCGTATTCCGCGTGTCCAACGAGGTCATTTTCCATCCTCGCTCATGGTATGGTTGGGAGTTTCTTATTGGGGCTTAACAGAGGTACATTTTTGAGAAAGGTGTAAAAACGAATGCAGTTGTGTATCAAAATACAGTCCTGACGAACCTTGTGGAACCTTTTTCTCATACCATGTTCAATAACAGGCACTGGGTATTCCAACAAGATTCGGCGCCAGCTCATAGAGCGAAGAGCACACAAGACTGGCTGGCGGCGCGTGAAATCGACTTCATCCGGCACGAAGACTGGCCCTCCTCCAGTCCAGATTTGAATCCGTTAGATTACAAGATATGGCAACACTTGTTTTTTTGCAACACTCCGTGAACGAACAATTTTTGTTGGCTTTAACTCATTTTCGAACACCCAAACTCGTGACTGGTTTTTTGTTTCGGGTTCGTACGCGTATATCCAGGATTCGTCACCTGATACAATGTTGTATACAGCATTTGAGGATCCTGCGTGGAATCTTTCGAGAGTTCTGACGCACCAAGTAACGCGAGCCGCTTTTTGCTCTTCACAGAGCGAATGGGATACCGCATTCGCTCTGTCCACGTTGAAACTCAGCAAACCAGCGATAAATTGTGGTTTTGGATGGGGCTTCATCACCAAATGCAGAAATCATCCGGTCAACACACTGTTTTTGTGTTAAACCACTTCGAAAGTCATAATAAATCATCGCTCTTGAATTTTCACGAGTCAATTCCATTTTCTCAACGACTAAACAAGTTTGACAAAACCTCGTGACAAGACCGAGAATCTATTTTTAAATAAATAAATGGTATTCGATTTTTAAAACCAAGGAGTTTTCAATTAAAAAGATTTTAATATGACAGGAACAGTGGAAATATTCCATTCCCGATACTTTTAGTGCAGCCTAGTATATAATCTGAATATCGGAAACGGCTACAACGATTTTCATAAAATTTAGTATACAGAGGATTTCGGGGACGATAAATCGATCTAGCTACGATTTATTTTCAGAAAATGTGTTTTCGTGTTTTCAATAATCAACTCTTCCCGACATCTATTGGCGAATAATAATACAATTTTTCTTAATTGAGGGCAACTAACCGCTTTAAAGACAACAAGATGGCGTTATCAAAAAAAAAACCGAGCTTTGCTCGGTCATCGTCTAGTACACATATAAAACATTGAGACATTGACAAAATATTGAGAGATGACTAATCATGTATTAGCCTACTTAATTAAATTTAAGGAAAAAAGGAGAGTTATTTAAAATCACTAATAAACTAAATATCCATCCAATTTATTTAAAAGATAAATACGTTTTCAAGAATCAAAGTTCAAGAGAGTTCGCTTCACACAATGAGTTAATTCGTTAAAGTTAACATTGTATTCTCACATTTAACTAGGATCAACAACATTGTATTATATTATTATAATAATAATTATCTTGTGAACAGACCGATTTCCATTTTACAAACTTCAAACCTTGTAGTTTAAGGTATCGCATATGTACTGAATTTTAGGCAACTTTTCTATAGAAAAGTTACCACGTCTATATCTTGTCTTTATTGCTGTATTAACCATTTATCTTTTCTTTTTTTGAGAAAGTGGGTGGACGTGAATGATCACTAACAATTAATAGAATGTAAAGTATCATTTCTTTGCATATTTTGGACAAATATGTACACCGTCGTGGATCACCTTAGAATACCTTTAAAATTTTATTACATAATTAAAAGGATTTGCCTAATGATTACGAAACCCTCAAAATATCAATAATATCAAAATATTAAAATACAGCACGCACAGAATCACGGATCTTCCGTCAATTACAAGTATATGCAGTTTCTGCAAAAGAAGTTTCTAGTATACATAGACGCGTCTGAATAACTAATTAGTAAAAACAGGCAATAAAGGCCACATGAGGCCTTGATAACAAAAACTAAATGACTGCCGAGGTTACGCGTAATCTAATCTATGCGTCGTGTTCAACATCCTAAAACTAAAATAGAAACCGAAAAAGTAAGAGCGAAATTTTCACAATCAACGATAGATTTACTAAAATGTAACAAAGTAACGGAAAATAACGCATTTAAACATTAATTTGACATATTTTTTCTGTAATTCAATCTAGATTTCAATGCATATATTCAGCGGGATCGCTTCTTTTTGGGCGTAGGGATTTATTTTTTTTTAAATAAAGTTGAAATATAGATTTAAAAAAAAAAACTGGTGCCTAACTAGTGGTACCCAATTATCACGCGTCTAAGAGTAAGCCCCGCAATGTATCTACTATGATCAATGCTACTATGTATCTAGTAGTGAAACGACAGCGTTAGAATCGCGGGCATGTAAAACGCGCTAATGCTTTTAGGCACACGACTTTCACAGTGAAGGATTTACGTGAAAATATAATAAAAGAAGTTAACATAATTATAAAATTGCGTAGTAACCATTATCTTGAAGATATTTATCATTATGACGTAAGACCGGTAGTCATTTAAACGCGAGTTAATCTTCGAGAACTTATTACGAACTCAAAGCGCCTAAGGTGATCATGGTTTTTGTAAGCTATTCAAAATACAGTATGGTCAATGCAAATGTATTTTTACCTACTATTTTGATATTTTATTTAGTTAGTTTATTGTTTGCAAAATCATAATAAGCTTACTACTACTAATCCTAATAAGATTTAGATCTTACCTAAATTAGTTACANGAGTTAATCTTCGAGAACTTATTACGAACTCAAAGCGCCTAAGGTGATCATGGTTTTTGTAAGCTATTCAAAATACAGTATGGTCAATGCAAATGTATTTTTACCTACTATTTTGATATTTTATTTAGTTAGTTTATTGTTTGCAAAATCATAATAAGCTTACTACTACTAATCCTAATAAGATTTAGATCTTACCTAAATTAGTTACAGAAATGTTAAACTGTATATTCTGGTACAATTGGTATTAAATATTACCCGCAGTCAATTTGTTTTTATGGAAATAAGGTAACGAATATTCTGAATATACTGGTTCGAGTCACGATCTATTGTGTCAATGACTCTTGGCGCCTATTACGTTACCTTTCGATATTTTTCAAAGAAATTCACGGACACTTTGATTATCAAGCCATTTGAATAATATTATGGTCTCATACATATGGCGTTTGGCACACTGATATTTAACAAATTAGCTTCTTTTGGAAATAACAAATTAGCTTCTTTACGAAAAAAAATCGATTGTCGAACGAAATTTTGAAAAAAGTTTTCAGAACTTACTATACGGGTTGTTTTCGCAACAATCTAATTGCGAATAATCTAACTATAACAATACAATGAAATGTAGTCAAAATTCAACTTTAACCTTCAGTACCTACCGTTATTTATCAAACAACTCGACCTCTTGAATATACAATTACACGATAATAACGTAAATTCTATACCAGCGAATGTATTTTAGATCTTCAAAGAAATTTCACTCGAAAACGTATTATTAAATCTTAACGAAATAAAATCATTTCCTTTTACGAGAAGAATATAATAAGCTCCATCATAAAAAAGATCCTTCAAGGCAAGAATTTATTTATTCTTTGTATATAAGTATTATGAAAATAATGAGCAGCCCGGCGGCATATTATCTTCAGTGTCGTTTTCAACTTCAATAAAATAAGGTGTGTTCTTAGAATAATGATAAACAGCTTCCTGTATTGCGAATGAACTTACATCGTGAATTAACAATGGGTGTACCTACCACCCACTTTGAGAACACCTCACAGTTTAATGACATATTTTCATTGATTCACATGGGCCTTGCTTTACGGAACTGGAAATTTTTGTTACACTATCACAATTACGTATAATTTTATTCTTTTTTTTTTTTTGTGAGCCCACTTTGCACTATGAACGTACAGAGCTGTACATGGTCTTCGTAAAAAAATGTTTCGGTGGTCCCCTAACCAAATCGCACGTTGAAATGTGAATGTAGTCAGATTGCGCGAGAGCACGCGAGGTTTCCGCCCGTGACGTACGCCCACCGCAGCCGAACTGACCAAGTTATAAGCGATGAATTAAACAAAAAACACGTCATCGATTTGTATACGATTTGTAAGTATAATACGTATTGAATACGGGTATGGGTAATGAAAAAAAAAACTTCATCAACATTTTTCAATGATTAGTGAAAATACCTTTTTTTTCTTTCGAATACATATTAAAGATCATCCATATTATTTAGATGATACTATTTAATTAGGTAAATGATAGAAAGTTTTTACATTATATAAGCACGTGTTTCCATTAGCCAACCTTTTGAAATCCCTTGCATTATTTACAGTGAAATGACAAATGTAAACGAAACTCGTTTAACCTTGAGTAATAACCGCGAAAAATGTACGTTATAACCTCAAAATTATAAACAAATTTGTTCTTTGTTGACAGTCATCAGAACTGAGGCAAAATTAATTTTAATAAATCTTTTAACTTGTAACTTGTAAAATTAGCAAATCGGTTGCCATCCGCCGTCGCGTTCATACCGTCGCGCATGACAAACAATGTTTTCTGCGTGCTCGCACGTACTTATTATAATACATTCATAGACAGAATGCAGTAATTTTCGAACATAATATTGATTTAAATGAAAATATGATCCAAAAAGATTTCAAACCTATCCTACCTTTTTTAAATTATATGATGTAAGGGAAATGTATGATGAAATACTAGATGTTCATATACTTTTTACTATTATATACACTTAACAGCGTTTGTTGCACTAAAACATTTCAAATACTGACAACCAACCATAAAAATAAGATCAAAGATAATTGAATAATATCTATTTTAGCCTATAATATGAATTAGTGTGATGAAACAAATGAGTATTTTGTCTTTTGTTTCCTTGTCAGAATAACTTCCTTATCTCAAGCTTATTTATTACTTGTTTAGTGCTAGAACTTTCATTTAGAGGGATAAGCATTGACAATGTAGCCATAACTAATCCACGCAGATTGAGTGAATGTCTGTTAGCCGTTCTTTATTTAATTTCAGTAAGTGCAAAAGTGCTCGCTCAGTTAAAACATCAAAGCACAGCTACAACATAATGAATGGAAATGTAGCATCCAAGTTACAGTGTCAAATAGAGGAAAATAATACATACATTACTTATTATTAAGATTGCAGTTTTATATAAATCAGCAGATTAAATTATATTATAATTTGAACAACTGTAGTATTCTTCTTTTTTTTTTTAAAGTTAGTATTTGATTTATTCTATAATAACATACTAATAGGTGTAATATTATTTTTGTTTGATAATCTGTAACTCGCAAACATAAAATAAAATACAAAAATTAAAGCTTTAGAACATTCTGATGTCTTCTATTCAATAGTAATGTGAACTTGGCTCTCTAATTGGTGTCAATTCACACTTCATTAACCTCAACTATTGATATTGAAGAATTGAACTCAATAAATGTGAACATGAAATATAAAATGTTTTCTTTTTTTGGCTTTAATGGTGTTTTAATAGCAAACTTTCATAACATTTTATTTTATATATATTTCAAAGGGTATTTTTTAATTAAATCTTACAATATATATATGAAGGGCATAACCTGTGAAATCACAAAGAACATGATAAAGTTTAACATTTTCTTTTAATGATTACGTAACTATTTTAATGAGAACCTAAAAAATACTATATTCTATATTATTGTGTTAACAATAAATAAACAATCATGATATAGAAAGTCTATATTAATTGAAGACTGTTAAATTTATTGTAACTGTTTGAGTAAGATTAGAATTCAGGAACTATGAAATAAATATACTTTTTGAATAAATTTTGGGAGACAAACTTTCATTTAAGTTTATAATTTCATGTTGCTTACAAAGTGCTTGATCTTTCAACAGACAGATTTTATGTAATTAATCAATTGGAGTGTCTGTTTGTAATATTGAAATAACCGCTTTTTACTACATGCATATGAATATATATATACGGTACATATACCAAAATAGCATTTTTTACAATTTTTGTCTGTCTGTCTGTTGGTTTGTTCTGGCTAATCTCTGGAACGGCTGGATTGATTTTGACGGGACTTTCACTGACAGGTAGCTGATGATATAAGGAGTAACTTAGGCTACTTTTTTTAGACTAGCTTTGACCCGCGGCGTCACCCGCGGTACGACAATAACCGCGGGTAACATCGCGGGACTCAGCTATCAATAATAAAATTTAATGTTTCCGAAGCGAAGCGAGGGCGGGTCGCTAGTAGTGAATAGGTTTCTTGAGTAACATAAGTATTTGTATGTACATAGGACTCTTATTCATTTTCTACAACTTTGACCACCTATATTTAATCAGTGATTTTATATTCAACAATGTAGGTAGTCCGTTAATTCGGGGGTAATCATATTGATATTTTATATTAGGTACCTAGAAATTTAGGGTACCTATGTAATAATTTTTTTTATATTTTAAGCTCATTCAAATTTTTCAATTACACCAACGGTGTGATTCATAGGCGGGAAGTCGACAACGTAAAGTACAACTTTACTTTGTAAACTGGTTACCGCAGGGCTAAATTCTTTAAGGGTTAGGTCATCAGGTGATCACAAACTGGATCATTGTATTTGAGCGTATGTAACATGTAATAATTAAATTAAAAATTAGNTTTTTTTTATATTTTAAGCTCATTCAAATTTTTCAATTACACCAACGGTGTGATTCATAGGCGGGAAGTCGACAACGTAAAGTACAACTTTACTTTGTAAACTGGTTACCGCAGGGCTAAATTCTTTAAGGGTTAGGTCATCAGGTGATCACAAACTGGATCATTGTATTTGAGCGTATGTAACATGTAATAATTAAATTAAAAATTAGAATCGACTTCTAATCGTCACGTTTCGTTGAGGTGGAGCCGATCGCCGACAGCAAGCTTGGGCGATGGCGCTACCCGTCAAATAACGGCAACTTGATGACAATTGTGCAAATACTAACCAAACACGCATATCTCTTACGAAAAATATGTATTTATTTTAAAGTTGTACAAATAGGAGACAAACTTACCACATGACAATCGCAAATTACAATGTCTAACATCCACTCAAAACAGTCAAAACAAAAAACACAGCACAAACCACATCCACGATTCGTACACTAGAATTGAAATTTGACAATTCTGAACGTTGACATTTCTTCAGAGTTGCTAGATTGAGTTTGAGAAGGGCTACCCTCAAAATAGATTTTGGTATCAATTGAAAGAGCACCGGGGCAAAATAAAGTGCACATGTCTTGTAACCATTAATTAAAACTCCACTACATACCATAATCTAAATTAATTTGCGATTACTTTTGTTATTTTTCAACTATTTTTATTTACTTTATTTATTTATATAAGTACACACAAAAAAGAAGACATAGTAGAGAGTAATAGGAAAATTATGTACAAACTATGTATATCTGAGCGAATTCGTGTTGGCAAAAAGATTCTTGACAAAAAGAAAAACAAAAACAGAAAGAGACTTCTTATCTAACCATTTAGTTTTTACGAAAAAGAACAATTGTGGAAAAATGAAATGCATTGGATGAATTTTTTTTTGAAATTGAGGTTAAGACGAAATTATTTATACTCTCATTTAAACTGTGGGAGCATCGGATAGTTATATGAACATTTTGGAACCCACGTCGACCCCAAAATGTAATTTCGTCTTAAACAGAATTAGTGAGTGAGTTTACAGTTTTTACAGTATCCTAAAAAAAATAATTTATTAAATATAGGGGGGAAATAAAGAGAGACAATCTCTTTAGACAATATAAGCAAATATCTTCTCATTCTATTCAATTTATTTTCACTTCTTTTTGTTTTCATCCAGACTGCGTTTATGCTATATTCTGTGAAAGTGCAAAATTGTGGGAAAATGAAACAAAGCCACTATTCATAGCTTCTCGGGATCCTTCAAAAAGTCCACTGAAAAAGTCTCAGTAAATAACCACCATTTTACTGAGATTATATTTCATCCCATATCATCTCATCTCAGTTCTTTTAATTTCATGAATTAATCAAAAAATTTTTTACCTATTCTAGTAACCTCGAGAGGTTATTCTAGATTCGCCGAGCTTGTAGGTGAGCTATCCGGCAGTATGGTGTGATATATTTGCCTATTCATTTAGAAAAATAGAAATACTACAAAAATTTGACATTTGATTTATTGTGACATTTTATACAACTAAATTTTCAATCGTTGAATAAAAATTCTACCAGTGCAGGTACCATAAGTTTTCTAAATTTTGTAAATACATTGGGATAAAATTCAGTTGCAGTACTTAGAACAAGAATAATATGATGTGGACTCGTCAAGGAATTAGGATTATGAACTCCAATAGAGCTAAGTTCTTTAAAAATATTCAAACGAATCGGGCAAATATTGGATGTCCGTGTCGATCCCATGCACAAAGGTTAGAATTTAATTTCTAAAATTACAAATTAAAACCAAGTAAACTACGCAACGAGAACTAATTGTTTAATTTTTATAGGCGCATCTCAAATGCAGCAATCAATAAATGTTCTGTGAACCTATCAAGCGGTCGCGGAAATATTTCACAAACAGTCTCTACTGAATTTCTGAAGAATACTGATAGAATGTCATCTGAAGAACTTTTAGAGAAATTAATAGCTGGATTATCCACGGATATACATCAGAAAAATAGAGTATACAAGAATGATTTAATGAGAGTTATAAACAGAGTAAAAGAAATGAATTTTTCAACCAAAAAACAGGGTTTGCTACTGCTTAGGTGCTGCACGGAATTACTACCTGACGAAACTCCTTCAGCTCGAATGGCTTTAGTTGAATTAGTTTGGAATACTTTAAAGTGAGCCTATGATATTACCTGTATGTTAACATTAAAATTCAAACATTGTTTTAAAACAATTGACTCATTTTAAAATAATAATTCTCAAATTGATTAATCTGTAGTAGTAAATAGAATGATTTTTATAGAATGCTGTTAT